AATTATCCAACAGAAATTGACGAAACATTTTTTGCACATCTGCCGTAAGAGCATATCGTGGTATGCGAAAGCGCATAGCGATGGAATTCAAGTCATTTTGTGCGTTGTAACCTACCTTCTGAACTTCATTCAGCGAGAGGCCGGACGATTTGGCCGAAGCATCGAACACCACACGACACTTAGTTGTAGTATTCGATGGCCGAAGAACGGCGTGGTGGGGTAGGTAACACTTCAACATACCAGGCGAATCGTCGGCTTCATTGACTTCTCTGCAATGTCCCAGCCTTTGATATTCTTCCATGAAATCCACATATTGTTGCTTGACATCTAATTGCTGATCGAGTTTTCTTTCCAGAGCATGAAATCTTCGCAACGCAAGAGCTCGACCGTCATCAAGCTTATCCACACAATCCCGAAGGGGAACTTGAACCACGTACCTGCCAGACGCATCACGCCAATGGGTTGCCATGAAGTGCGCCTCGCATTCTTCTTCTTCACTAGTTTTCTTCAGGTCTTCCGGTAGGCCTTCGAACTCCCAGAAGCGTTGGATCGTTTCACTTAACTCTTCCAATGTTACCGCGTGTGAATGAGTGAAGTTCGCATTCACCACTCTACCGCACACACCTCCAACAACCAAACCAAGTTGAGTTTCACGTTCTTGATGGTTAGAAAGAACCGGAACAGCAAAGTTTAAAAGTAGAATGGATTTTATTTAATGACTAGCTTGAGTGGAGTCTTGAACAGGAATGAAAAGTTTTTCACCGTTGTTTATTTAAGAAAACTTAGGTTGCTAGGGGTGACGTTTGGTCTCCAAGGAGGTGATCAGCACACTGTGTTACCGATTTACTCCAACACCCCCCCTGAATCGGTCAGTCCTAGGAGGGTCCTCAGTTCGCGGAAACGTCCAGGTTCCAGGGGCTTGGTGAACGTGTCCGCTATTTGGTTTGCTGTATCAATTGCTTCGATTTGAAGTCTTCCTTGTGCCACATGGTCGCGCAAAAAATGGTGCTTTACATCGATGTGCTTGACACGCTTGCTTTCGGTGTTTGTGACCATTGCAATGCACCCACGGTTGTCTTCGTACACCTTGAATGCCGTGTCCGGTCGAACTTGCTTCAGGTCTTCAAGGATTCCGTGCAGCCACAGCCCTTCGGAGGCCGCGGCACTTAAAGCTGCATACTCGGCTTCACACGACGACAGTGCAACGGTTTGTTGCTTGCGGCTTGCCCAAGACACGGTGTTCCCAAAGACCTTAAAGACGAAGCCACTAACGGATTTCCTATCCTCAGCATCCGATGCCCAGTCAGCGTCTGCGTACCCGACAAGTGCCTCGGCGTCGTCGTTTTGCTTGTACTGGAGCTTCAAGTTCTTCGTCCCCTTCACGTAACGGACCACTCTCTTCAGGGCTTGCCAGTGGGCCTCATCAGGTTGAACTTGGAAGCGCCCTAGGTATCCAACAGCGTAGCATATGTCCGGTCGAACACACAGCATCGTATACATCAGGCTGCCCAGCAATTGATGGTATGGATGCGACACAGGATTCGCAGCTTGTGGTGGCAGGAAACAGCCTTTCTCCATTGGGGTTTTGACATGGTTACAGTCTTGCATGCCGAACTTCGTCAGCACACGGTCCACAGCAGCTTCTTGCGCCAGGTACATGCATCCGGTGGCGCGGTCGTATCGGATCTTCATTCCAAGGAAATGATTAACCACGCCGCAATCCGTCATCTGGAGCTTCTTGGAAAGAGCACGCTTGATCTCCTTCACCAGGTCCAGTCGATCGCCAGCAATGAGCAAATCGTCCACGTAGATGATTATGTATACCCCCCCTCGATCGTCGATCCTGGTATATAGACAGTAATCATGCCGGGAACGGGAAAAGCCGAAATCCAGTAGAAGGTCGTTTAGCTTGTTGTTCCAACAGCGGGGGCTTTGCTTGAGTCCGTACAGCGATCGATCCAGCTTGCAAACGAAGTTCGGCGGTGCTGCAACTCCTTCGGGTATGGCCATGTAGACGTCTTCTTCAAGCTCACCGTAGAGGAATGCGGTCTTCACATCGAGTTGGTGAACGTGCATCCTTCGGTGGGTTGCTACAGCAAGAACGGTTCGTATCGTGGCTAACTTTGCTACGGGGGAATATGTTTCGTTGTAGTCGACTCCGGGCTTCTGTTGGAATCCCTTCGCCACCAAGCGCGCCTTGTAACGGATCGGTTCGCCATGCTCGTCCGGCTTGATTCGGAAGACCCATTTCGATTTGAGCGGAACCACACCAGCAGGGCATCTCACCAATCGCCAAGCATGGTTGTCCGCTAGCGACTGCAGTTCCTCACGGACCGCTTGCTGCCAAAGAGCTTCGTCGGCTCGTCCAGCGATCTCCTTGTACGCCTCCGGGACATCGAAGATTGAACGCTCGGCCTCATCTCGTCCAACGGAACCGTCAAATAGTACATCGGAAACGTTATGAGGAACATCAGGGAGTCTGCGCTCCCGTTCGCTGCGCCTCGGGGTTTCCTTTTCAAGGTTTGAACCACGGTCTAGTTGCGAAGGGAGCGCTCCGGTTTCTTCAACACCGTCGTCTTCAACCTCGCCTTCTTCATCATCAGTCAGGATGTCGTCATGTTGAGCCACCAGCGGCTCATCGGGTTGAACGGACTGTTCAGGGGTTTGCACGTCTTCCTCATCTTGATCCTCGAACTCGTACGGAGCAACAACCAAAGGAGTTTCGTCACGGATCTGGGTGGCAAACGGAAAACTGTTTTCATCGAACTTGACATCTCTGGCTAGGAATAACTGCTTCTTCTCTTTGTTCCACAGGCGGTAGGCGTTCGGCGCATAGCCGATCATCACAGCAGGCTTGCTTTTCGGATCCAGTTTCTTCCTCTGTGCCGTGGACACCCAAGCAAATGCTTTACAGCCGAACACACGTAGTTTACTAACGTCCGGCTTGTGACCAGTCCACATTTCCGCAGGAGTCTTCCAATCAGATACCGCGGTGGTTGGACTTCTGTTCGTCAGGTATACCGCCGCTAGAACCGCTTCATTCCACAGATTCTTCGGAGTTTGGGCTTCAATCAGCATCGCACGCACCTTTTCGACGATTGTCCGATTGAACCGTTCGGACACTCCATTCTGCTGTGGTGTGTACGCTGCGGTTGGCTCGACTTGGATCCCCTTGGAAACGTACCAATCACGCTGGTCATTGGAGCAATACTCGCGCCCTTGGTCGACAGTCAGCTTCGAAATCGAATGTCCCAGAGCGGCACTCGCCATGGCCTCGTACTCTCGAAACTTCTGGAACACCTCGGACTTCTTCTTGATGGGATATACTACTGCAAAGTGCGTGTAATCATCAATAAAGGTGACGAAGTACCGAGAATCATCCCAAGCCGCTGGTGTAATTGGACCGCACACATCGGAGTGCACTCGTTCTAGAGGTCTCGTAGCACGGACTCTAGTACCCGTGAATGGTTCTCGGCACTGCTTTCCGAGAACACAAACATCACAAAAATCCAATTTATCTGGTTTCTCGGGAATACCTGTTACCATGCCATGCTTCGCGAGTGTCTGCAAACTCTTGCTCCCCAAATGAGCCAGTCGACGATGCCACAGGTTACCAGTCACAGCTCCACACATGTTGGCCGCCACCGTATCGACACGGAGATCGAGCTCGTAAAAATCGCCCCGCATGGGACATCTCGCAATCAGGTCACGACCTTGCTTCATGATCGCTTCCTTTTTCGTGAATGTGACATCAAGATCCGCTTTTGCCATCTTCTTCACAGATAGCAAGTTCGCTCGAAGATCTGGTACGAAGAGGACGTTCTTCAAGCTGATATAGTTACCTTCCTTGTTGACGCCGTTGATCGTGCCACTGTGCCGGGAAATCAGGGATTGATCATCCTTCGCCACGTTTATGACGACAGGGTGCTTCAGCTTCGTGAGGTCGGCGAAACAGTGCTTCACATTCACAAGGTGGTCCGAGGCTCCGGAATCCAGCTTAAAGGAAACTGCTCCCTCGTCCTTTGTTTGGGAGCATCTCCCGGTCATAAAAGCCACCGCCTTACCTCCAGCAGCAGCGTTAGCTTCAGCGCGCCCATCTGTCTTCAACTTCACACGACAGTCCTTGGCCTTGTGCCCCTTCTTCTGGCAACGGTTACACTTTCCGGTGAACTTACCAGGCTTCTGCTTCGATCCTTGGAATGCTGCAGGTTTCTCTTGGCAGGAATCCGCTGCCCGGTCGGTTTTCTTGAGCTCCTCGGCAAGAAGGCGCTCGCGAAGAACATCCAGTTTTAGGTTTTCCTCACCTAGATTTTCCAGTGCCGTAACCAACGGATCGAACGACTCGGGAAGGGTAGCAAACAGCTGGGACACAATATCGTTCTCTTCAAGCTTCGCTCCGGCCAGCTTCAGTTGTCGGATCAGCTCTTCGAAGGTTTTCAGGTGATCTTTCACAGACGAACCTTCCATCATTCGTAGCTTCGCAAGTTGCTTCCTGACGAATGTCTGCGACGAGACGGACTTCTTGGCGTAGGCGGATTCAAGGCTCATCCACATCTCCTTGGACGTCTCCTTGTCCCGCACCAAATGCAGCAAATCGTCATGAACAAATGACGTCAGCAGGAACGCCGCCTTACCGTCATCTTCCTGGAACTTCGTGAGCTCGGCCGCTTCCATCGGAGGATCCTTCTTGATGATATCCAACAGCTTCACGGACTTCAGATACTTCTCCACTCGAAATTGCCAATTGTCGAAACCGGTGCCCGAGAACTGCGGGATCCCGTGGACCAAATCCTTGTGTGAGTCACCCATAACCTCTTGATGGTTAGAAAGAACCGGAACAGCAAAGTTTAAAAGTAGAATGGATTTTATTTAACGACTAGCTTGAGTGGAGTCTTGAACAGGAATGAAAAGTTTTTCACCGTTGTTTATTTAAGAAAACTTAGGTTGCTAGGGGTGACGTTTGGTCTCCAAGGAGGTGATCAGCACACTGTGTTACCGATTTACTCCAACACACGTAATGCCGGTAGGTCATCAGCATCTGAATACTCTCCCGGTAGGAGCAATCTCAAAAACCACTGGTTACCCAACAGAATGTCAATCCTCCCAGGCTCATAAAACTTAGGATCAGCGAGCTGCACTCCTACAGGCAACTCCCAATTCTTAACATCTACCATGGACGTAGGAAGGTCTGACGTAACTCTGTCCGCAATCAAACACTGGACGTTTGCTCTAAATTTGGAGTACTTGGATCGGATTTGGACGACGGTACTGTTGGAAACTATGCTGCAGGTGTTATTTACTCCAGCAACGATAACCGACGTCGGACTTTGCGTCAATCCAAGCATTTCGGCCGTGGATCGTGCTACCAAATTCGCTTGGGACCCGGAATCCAATAAAACACGGTATGAGTGGGACTTGTTGTTTTGATCCATAACATTTACAACTGCTGTGAGTAGTAGAACTTGCTGCATTGAAACTCCTTCACTGGAACAGGTGGCACTCGTCAGCTGAGCTTGATCAGTTGCGTGCTCTTCTGGCTTCTGTTCTTCCGGTCTGCTGGTAGTGTTCTTGCTATCCGTATTTGCCTTCACTCCATCCTCGGCATGGAGAAGACTATGGTGACACCTTTTGCATTTGTTGCATGTTTTTTCGGATGTACAATCCTTTCCACGATGCCCTCGCCGAAGGCAGTTGAAGCACACATTGCGCTCTCGAACCTTGGCCAGTCTTTCTTGAACGGTGATTGCTTTGAGATCTGGGCAAGCGAAATTTGGATGACCCTTGCCACAGAAATCACACTTAGTTTCATTCCCAGAGGTAACGGCCGCATTAACCTTCTGGGTAAACGACTTGGGTGATGGTGCTGGTTTGGCCTGAGTTTGCTTGTGGCTCGTAGACTCGCACCGTTCCATGACGAAGCACTCCTCCTTGAGGTACTTCACCATTCCTTCGTAGGTGGGCAGTTCACCATGCTTTATGGTTGACTCCCAGCATCTACGCGTATCCTTGTCCAATGCTGCAGTTAGCAGATGTACCAGGAACAGATCCGATACACCCAGGAATTCCTGCTCGAGGAATTTCAAGCTTTCGACGTGCCTTGTGCACTCGTCCACCAAATTACGCAACTCGGTATGGCTCTCTTTAGTCATCTTTTTCAAGGATAAAAGGTCATCAATGTGCTTGCCGATCGTGTGTCGCTTGTTTTCGTACCTTTCCTCTAGTATCACCCAAGCGTGGGCGTAATTACCTTCATTAATGGTTTTGGCGTCTATCAATCCAGCTGCTGATCCCACCAGCACTTTGTCCAGGTGATAGAGCTTCACTGCTGGGGGATCCGGTGCATTATCAAACAAGCCTTTAAACATGGCCTTGAACTTGGGCCATGTTTCGTATCGTCCGTCGAACGTAGGTATGGGCATTCTAAGAGGTTGTTGCACAATCATTGGAGCTTGGGGATGTGCTCCAACATTCGGTACTCTAGCGTTTCTGTGAAGGTCATTTTGTCGCTCTTCAAGGATCAACGACACTTGATCGTACAGCTCTTCGAATGCAGCATAGTGCTCATCCTGAGCGAGCCGTCCATCTTCGTTAAGCAGTGCAAGCACTTTGTCATGGAGATCGTTATACTCCTGGTACGCAGATTCCACCTTGCGCTGATGGACTTTAACTTGGGCCTCTGACAGTGCAGGAGGCTCATCATTTGGTGGATTAATGGCATTCAAAACTTTGGTTACCTTACCTTTTGCAAGGCCTCGACGGTGGACGAGTAGATTGACCTCCTACATGTTCTTCAATTTTTCTTGCAGATTCTGCTTCTTTTTTTTGGTTTTGCTCTTCGGGGTTGTGGTATCCAGATTCACCTGCCCAAGTGCAGTGATTCCAGACGTACTTGAAAGATCTTTTGGATCAACCTTAACTTCCGACATGTCACTGGGGACACATGATCACTTCAAGCCTTCAGTTTAGAATGAAAGCAACCAAGTTTGCTATCATCAAAGCACTTAACACTTATTTTCATCAGCACGCTGGTTTACTTGTGCGCACTATTCTTCACCGTGACCACTCTTCTTATTCAACTTCCACTAATGGCCACGGCATAATAGTCTTGCTTGCCAACTATTACAAGATGGCGAATTCACTACGTCCTTGTGCCTAGTCTTCAAGATGGCGGCTCAGCACACGTATTTTGTTTAACGAGTATGGCGACCGCTGATCATCTTGCACTTCTTTTTTTTTACAACGTCTTTATATCCGATCCGGCAGAATTCGCACTTCTCTTAATCCACTTAATTGTCCGGTTCGATGGACCAAATTTATGTTGGATCAGTGGACTGTAACACAACGGAATCTTTCGGATCGAATCTGACAACACACTCAAGTTTCTATTTACTACATATATTTAATTAATTTAATTAGCTGTGCTTTAATGCACCTTTCACGTCGGCGTTTGAAACTCGAATGGCGGGCGATCGAATTCCGGCTGGCTGCTGCTGCTCTTCACTCGTCGTCCTCCTTCCCTTTCTTCCACTCTCCACACATTCGATTGGTACGAAAAGGTTGGTAGTACCGCTGTTATTGCGTGTGGAGACAAATCGCAGTAGTCGGGGGTTCGGTCGCTTTCACTTCCCATAAAACATTCGAGCTGTCACATTGTAGCTCGAACAGTAAGAATGCTAAGAAACTCAGATAAATCTATATAAATTTCAAATGAATTTCATGTAAGATAATTTCACTTAGATTCGACATGAATTTATAGTGGGACAATATTGATTTTTAGCGTAACGCAATTAATGGACACCGCCCAACAATATTAACCAAAGCCAACCCGGGGGCAACTTGACAAGTCCAGTACATTCCCAGTGTACTCCGAAAATTTGGTGCTGGTGGTTCTGTCAAACTCACAAATTTCAGAACTGTTATCTGAATAGGACGAATGCGGACATGACGTACAGTAAATAAAATGTAATTTTAAAGATAATCTTATTGCATATACATAATCAGTTTATGAATCTTTTTTTGTGCAGCCACGTATGTCTTTGAACAGAACAAAACCAAAAGCTTAAACATAGGGGAAATGGCTCTAATGTTGGCCTATGGATCTAACATTGGGCCCATCGCTAAAAATCTGCTACACAATGTTTGTTTTGATTCGCTATGAAAGTTTGACAGATAAAATGAGGGGTTATTGGTTTTTCTTATGTTTCGAGGGGTGATTCGACAAGCTTGGGACCGAAGATAGTACCAGAGGTGAGCCAAAAAGTTGAGCACGTTTCTTTGGGACCTACTTGTCTTAGAGTTACCTCTATGGTACAACTTTAGTACAATCAACCGGTGGAAACTAACGATTTTAAATTGGCTCACCACTTGACTAGCCTATTGGTCCCAAGTACATCTATAAGCGTACCCAATTCTAGTTGAAATTCTAGAACTATAATAAGTTTGTTTTGATTCGCTATGAAAGTTTGACAGGTAAAATTAGGGGTTCGTAGATTTTCCTATGTTTCTAGGGGTGCATCGATTAGCAATATAGCAAATATAGCAAAATAGCAATACAGCAAAATATATTCTCGCACAGAAACTCCATCAGCCGGTGAGTGTCTTCCTTCACCATTAGCTCTTTCTTCTCCGAACCCTTGACCAGCAGCAGCGACGAATACAACTTGGGCTCAGTGGAAAAAATTATCTGAATTCCTTTTCCACTTGCTTGTCGTAGGGGGTTTGATTGGTGAGGCTTTCCCTGGGGCTAGAATCAGCAGTTCAAACGAAATCAACAGCTGCTTCGTGCCTGTTTGGCAACTTCCATGCTACAACAAAGGGACACATGGGCTCTTTTCCATCGAATTCGATCGGTTTGAGTCCGGGAAATGGATGTGCGTTGCCGTCTTCTCCGTGATGCACTTGACGTTTTTGCCCCCGCAACCGATTAAAAACGAGTGGTCCGTCATGGCCAGCTGACATATGTGGTGTTTGTTGTGGAGATTGTTGAAAACTGACAGTGAGTATGGCAGAGTACTTCGCGGTCTACCTGAAAACTTCGAGAAACTGCACGGCTTGCTTGACAATGTGTGTTCCTGCAGAAGGGATAAGTTGCACTCATAAAATTTCAAAGATTGCTTTTATGTGTCCCACACATGAATTTTTGATTGCCTATTCGCGCCAACCACACCAATGTTGCCTGCTGAGCAGTTTATGGAGCATGTCAGACAATACAGTGTTGGCAAAATCATCAATCAAATGATAGTTTTAAGATATCAATTGTTATACTAACATGCAGGTTTAAAAAACCTGTTTAAAATACTGAATTGCCAAGACAGGAACAATGTAAAAACACTTAGCTATATATCATAACAATTAAGGCTGGTAAGTTACTGTAGTAACTGGAGCACCTAGGTTAAAATGAAATGTAATTTATTTTGAAGTTGGAACAAATAAAGAGTTAAAAAAAATCAATCAAATGATATTTTTCCGCTCTCATACGCTCTCAATATCACGCGTGAGACTGCCTATGGTAGTTCCCAGACATAGTAATTCCCATATAAACATCAAAGGGTCAGTGCTGATTTAGTTCACAAGAAAAAATGTTGGGAGCATTACCAGGACCTGATTTGAAATCGATTAAGCTTGGTAGAGCAAAATCAAAATTGTGAACCACTATAACACATTGAAGGGACCATAGGGTTGTGGATTAAAAAAAATATGTGTACTTTTCGGAGAATTGGGTCATTTTTTTAAGCGCAGTTCTTGGATCAGTTTAATTGATTTACCTTTATTGTTGTTGTTCCAGATCTGCCGGAGGACCATTACGTGGTCCCAAGGGGCTATTTTTCGATCACATATCCCAATTAATTCTGATAAGTCGTCTATAAGTGGTTTCGTAAAAACCGCGGAGCTCTAGGATCAGTTTCATGAATTGACCACTTTCACGGATGTTCCAGATCTTTCAGTGGACCATCCCGTGATCTACAGCGTCCATATTCCGGTCTCAACTCTGAATTCTTTCGGATAAGACGTCTATGATTGGTTTTGAAAAAAAAAACTGCGGAATTCTAGGATCATTTTAATAAATTGACCACTTGTACGAATGTTCCGGATCTTCTTGCGACCTACCGGTAGCTGACCCAAACGGTGGCCAACTATCTTATTAACAACTTCTCTAAAGGCATCAGAAAGTTATCTCTCCAAATTGCCGTATAATCAGTGTTTGGTCCCAAATAGCTCCAGGTAATGCCAGTCGACCGTACTATTGGAGTCCAGTGGCAACCGTACTATAGGAATCTTGACAGTAGGTACATAAGGTCACTGGGTAAAATCATTTCCCAATTCCCAGGAAGTTCCGGGAAGAGCCATCACGATTGCACCTGGCTAATCAAAAATGCATCGGAAATGTAAATACTAATTCCACTTGATCAGTCAGTGGGTCAGAGTGAGCTTAACTTCTCAACCAGAATAAGTTACGAAAACACTGCTTTTGTTTGAAAAATGACCCCCTTGGTGTGCACCTTCAGAAGCCAGTCACTGTTGTCATAAAGTCCGTAAATTCCACTAGCTCGCAAATGTTGATTTCCCATTCTTAGCAAGGTTCCGAGATTCCCCCGACTTCAAAACAAAGAAGCGATAACCAACCATATTCACCCCCGGATGATGGATTTTTCGTTTCCACCCTTCTTCAATCATCACACCACTAGATCAATACGATAGATGAAGTATGAGAAGCAATCTGGTAGTTATTTAATTCATGTTATGATCCCACCACATTCCTCAACGATCCAAACAGAAAATATGCATTGTGATCTCAGTGCGAGCGAAGCGAAATCTACCAATCTGAAGACTTTGCCGCGGTGATTCCCCTTGTTGGGATTGGGAGCCCAATGTCCTCATCACTTGGTCGTAAAGTGACGTCACCGAACCGGTCCTCGTGGGAAATCACTGGCGGCGAGATTGAGACATGTAAATTCTCTCTGACCGATGCTGGAGAGCGAACGGAGAGATCGCCGCCGAATTGACCATCTCTCGTGCTGGCAAAGATCCGTTAGTAGTACGACGAGAGCAGTCAACAGGATGGGTCGAACAATAAGAGTGCTTACGTTGTACGGCTGTGTGATCGGAATTTTGTTGGCGTTGACAGTTAGGTTGACCACCGCTGCAGAGGAACTGTTCGGGTACAGAGAAGATCCGGAGGACAATCCCGGACGACAGAACGCCAATGTAAGTAGCTTACAGTGATCCGCGAGCTTCCGTGTAACTGGAAAAAACCGTTGAATATGATTAATAGACACACAACAAAACAGGAAGGTCGTGCTGATAAGCACACATACATAATGTAGTGCTAAAAGATGGTACTGTGGATATGTGTGGATGTGACAAAACAAGACGATTTTTCAGTCCAACTTCCAAACTAGCTTGAAGCGCTGTGTGCGTCCAAGACTTTGCGATTCGACTGATCATGCCTAGATACTACATATGCTAATGATCATTCGAAACCGGAATGGAAAGTTTTTGTAGAGTCGCAAAAAAAGTGCTCATCGTGACCGATAACGAAGCCTCTTTCCTTACAGAATCGAACCCCGGTCTACATTCCGGGTCGCTGCGGAGAGAATGAAATCCTCTACCCAGGAGATCAGGAGAACGATTGGGTGTGCGATTGCCGTCCCGGTATTAACGAACCTTCCCAGCGCCGCCAATGGCCAGGACTAATTTCGTTTCAATCTCGATTTTAGCACACGTCTACCATCCCATTTCGGCCGGATGCTTTCCGCTGTACACCCGGGCCTACTGTCGCGAGGACGAGTATGTAGAGATTAAGCTGGGCTCCAAGCTGCCCAAGTGTACGAAGAATATCTGCGAAAAAGGGCATCTTCCCTTCAACGGACTGTGCGTCGTTCTCCACAAGAACAACGAGGGAGCCTGCCCGACGGTTCAGCACATCCGGTACGTGATCGGGGTGAATGAAGTCACGTTGCAGCTAGATTGTATCAGCCGAGCACCGGTGGATTTTAAGAAAATTGTAAAGAAACGGACAGAAGTAGATGATCCTGAAATCATGGTGACAAAGGAAGGGCATGTTTTGGTTCTGACTGCGGTCAAAGGTGCCGTCGGATCGATTGCTTGGTTAAATGCAACGCAACTGGAGGATAAGGAAGATGCTATCGAAGGGACAGAAGCTCCGCTATAAATTGATGTGCAATTTTAATAACATAACGTATGATAGGATAATTGAACACGTAGGTTGTAGGTTTTCTTTGATGACTAATCCCTGTCACGAAGTTGACCCAATTGTTGACCAAAGACAAGCGTAGATTAAATTTGGGGAAAATAAGCCTTTTAATTTTGTCGAACCTCTCAGTTACATTGTAAATTTCATTAAATACTTTCAATACTGACAATATTTGATACTTAAATTATTTTCGGTGGGCTTCGTGGTCGTGCGGTTAGCGGCGTCACCCGTCGTTCAGGCGTATTGTGAGTGCCACGAAGTGAGAGTTCGATTCCCGCTCCAGCCGGTGGAACTTTTCGCAACCCGGAAATTTCCCAACTGGTCTACTGGGTGTTGAGTGTTGTCCGTTGTCTAGTGTTAAGTATTCAGTCTGTACAACCTCTGGTGGAAGACGGTGTCAATTGTCTCTTTAAATTATTTTCAATACATTCAAATTATTTGCCATTACATTAATTACCGTTAATTATATGTTGATTACTATTGAACCGCAAAAAGTATTTAAAATCAAATTATTACTGTCCTCAAAGTAGTTAAATTACTACGAGGTATTTTAAATATCACGCACTCATACCTGGTAGAGCGCGCCCCTCGATATAAACAATGATAAACATAGAACAACATATGAAAAGGGCGTATAGCACAATCGAGTAGTGCACGGTGTTATGACGGGAGTAGCACATTTCAATCGGGAGAGACGTGGCTTAGCGATTTACAAGAATGGCTGTATATTTTAGGCTGGTTGCAGAATATTTTTACACTCATATAATATATGTTGAAGTTTTTTTTATAATTCGTTTATTTTTCCAGGCTCATTTGCTGTAGCTTTGCGGAGCCGATATTCATTGTTTAAATAACAAAACTACTTAAAACTAACGTCAGTAAAGCGAGGGGTAACAAATTGTAACAAATGGATGGCAGGGTAGGGATTGTGAACACAAGGTTTGGAGAGCAATGTGCTCTTGATCACGAACTAGGCGACACTCTGATGAAAAAGACAAACATGGGGGTACATCGATGGGCAACTAACAACTTGGGAGAACACAAGATGACACTAACTACTAAATCCTCAAATCTATCCGTTTTAAAAACACATAAATTAAATTCAAATAGTCGAGGTCTCGGCCGCCAAGACATCTCTAACGGGTAACGCGGGTTGTTTTCCTCGGTCCCTGAGGGATGTGGATAACTCAGATCTGGCAACATGGTGTAAGGTACATGACCAAACAACATGCTCGATATCATGATAACCATTGCCACACGCACATAAATTGCTGCCTGAGAGCCCAATTCGATAGAAATGCGAGTCCTCAAACACGACGCTATCTTCTGATCCTACTGGTTCAACGGTTTTGTCCACTTCCACGTCGTCCCTTTGATCCGTCTGATGAGCGGGAGCGTCCCAAGCTTCCCGTACTGTGCTCACGATCCAACGCTTGACATCGTGTAACGGTACTTCGTTGGTATAGCGAGGGGCAGATGGTCCTGACCCAGCCAGAAAGTCGGCTTAAGAGTTGTCTGGTATTCCACAGTGCCCCGGGACCCACACTGAAAAAAGTTTTCATCTAGTTTCCATTGGGAACGCACAAGATATTTTTCCAATAACAAAATTAATGATTTTCATCTGAAATTCACATAACAAATCACATAAATTTCATTGGACACATAAGGTTCATGTGATTTTGTAGTGCGATTCCCAATTATGAGATCACATGAATGTTATGTGCAATTCTAATGGATATTTTCCATTGGAAATGTTATTTATTTTTTGAGTGCAGCAGAATACCAACCGGTGGAAACTAACGATTTTAAATTTGCTCTCTACTTGACTAGCCTATTGGTCACAAGCACATCGATTAACGTAAACCCATTCTAGTCAAATTGAATGAATCATGGCGACAAAAGAACTGTTTGCAGCATAGTTGGTTGCATGTACTACTTCATGTAGCAAGGTTCTCGGACGGAGTGTTCGGGCAGGAGCATACAGATTAATTTTGGCCAGTAACTCAGGAACATCATATTCTGCGAGTAAAACTTTAGCAACGAAGACGACCTGCGAAATGTTTCGTCGCTTAGCAAGAGTATCCAAACCCAGTAAACGACAGCGGTCAGCATACGGTGGTAAATTCAGTTGGTCACTCCATGGAAGATAGCGCATTGCGTATCTGACGAATTTGCGTTGAACAGCTTCGAATCTTCCACTCCATACAACTTGGTAGGGATTCCAGACAACACACGCGAATTCCAGTAGTGAGCGTACCAATGAACAGTAAAGGGCTTTAAAACACAGAGGATCACGAAATTCCTTAGATATCTTGAACATGAATCCAAGCTGTCGATTAGCTTTGTCGATCGTGGTTGAGAAGTGGCGAGTGTATGTGAGCTTTTCATCCAACATGACACCGAGGTCTTTAACGTGATCGACACTTTGAACTGCAGTTCCAGCAACGTTATAATCAAACAAAATGGCAGTCCTAGTTCGACGGAAACTAATTACGCAGCACTTTGAGACGCACAGGACCATAAAATTACGTTCACACCAATCATTAAAGATTTCAAGAAGGTTTTGTAGTTCTAAACAGTCGGCATAGCCTCGAACAACTAGATAAATCTTCAAGTCATCGGCAAAAAACAATTTACCTCCTCGTAGTAGAATAAACGTTACATCGTTCACAAATAAAGAGAAGAGCATTGGTCCCTGTGGAACTCCTGATCTGTTCGAGAAACAGTACGATGAGTAATTTTCAATGCATACAGTAAAATCACGTTGCACGAGGTACGATCTAAGCCACACGGCGAATGAGAACGACTCAAATTTGAGTTTAGTTCACTCATAATCGCCAAAAGTGCAGGAACTCAGCGATGAGTAAATTTGCCTCATGTTTTCCCAGGTTTTTCCAGGGAAAAAATCCCGAATTTGAGAAAAGTAAAGATTGGATTCACTCAGTCTATTGATACTACTCCGAGACTGAATAAAATTTTCGTCAATTTCCTCATTTTCCGGCAGATTTTTTAGGTTTTCCACAGGAAACCATGAGACAAATTTAACTCATCGCTGCGTTCCTGCACTTTTGGCGATTATGAGTGAACTAAACTCAAATTTGAGTCGTTCTCATTCGCCGTGCAGCTGCAGAAGGAAACAGAACATCCAATTTTTTCAAGCTTTGCTAGCAGAACGTCGTGCACAACTCTATCAAACGCAGCTTTAAGATCAGTGTAGATGGCATCCACTTGAAGTTTCTTGCATACATTTTCCATACAGAACGACGTAAAGCTGACGAGATTAGTTTCCACGGAGCGGCCAGGAAAGAAACCATGTTGACATGTACTTATGTAATGCTTGCAGGAAGCAAACAATCTCTCATTTATCAGCGACTCAAACACCTTAGATTCAACCCCAAGCGAGGTAATCCCACGGTAGTTTTCCACATTGCGTTTGTCTCCTTTCTTGAAAACAGGGAACATAGTAGACCGTTTCCATAGTACGGGAAATTTCTGTTGACGAAGTGACAGGTTGAAGAGCAAGGACAACGGAGCAGCTAAGATATCGGAGCATTTTTTTTAGGACTGCAGATGGAATAACACTCGGACCTGGTGAAAATGATGATTTGGTTTTACTCATCACAGAGAGAACCATTTGTACATCTACGGCAAAAACATCCATGTTTACGACGTCGGTTGGCACATCACGGACGGCTCGCTTAATTTCTGCTTGCGATGGGGAGTCATTCGAGAAGACGCTTAAGAAGTGCCTAGCAAATAGGCTGCATTTGTCCTCAGTTGTCAATGCTACGTCATTGCCGAGAAACATTTTTGACGGCAGTCCAGTTTCCTTCCTCTTAGTATTCACAAACGACCAGAATCCCTTGGGGTGGCATTGCAGATTATGTTGAGTACGAATTACATACCTCTTGTAAAGAAGCTTGTTGTAGTGGCGATAATCATTGCTGGCAATTGAAAAATTTCGCTTGGTAAGGGTACATCGTCGATGAGTGAGAGCACGGAGAGCTCTAGATCGCACTCGTTTCAGGTTGCGGAGAGTAGCGTTAGACCAAGGCGGTTTTCTTGGAGGTTGGCACTTCGGTACTGAACTGAAGCACAAGCACAGTCGCGCAAAAGGCTATTATAGCGAGCGGCTGCTGTATCGATATCAAGGTCATTCAACACGTTCCAGTTGATCCGGGACAAGGAACGTCTCAGCAAACGGAAATCGGTCTTCCGGAAATTGAGCCGAGTGGCAGTCATGGTTTCATCAAAACGAATTTGAGATCCGTTCGCGATAGATATATCCAAAGCAGGGTGGAAATTGTCAAGAGGAACGATGACATCAGGCGCTTCAGCGACGACACAGTCCAGAAGTGCACTTTCGCTAACAAAAACCAAGTCAAGAAAACGAGACTGGAAATTGGGAACAAGGTTTATCTGGCTCAGTCCATGAAAAGCCGTGCCGTCAACAAGCAAGCGGCTGGCAGGAGTAGTTGAAGATGCAATCGGATCTGGAAACGCATAACCCTGGCCTGAGGGTGACCAGCTAAGCCCAGGCTGATTAAAATCACCAAGCACATCCGTTATATCAGCCGTGGACGATGCAAATTCTGTAGCATTCAGATGAAGATGAACAGCAAATTTAGGTAAAAAAAAAACAAATTTCGTTTCCGTTTTTCAATTAACCATCCATGAGAGCTTGAAGTTGTATACAAACAATCTCAAAAGTCATAACTGCAGGGTTGCCAAACTCATGGGGTACTGAGACCGACAGCTTAATTGCCACAATGCGGCACGCTCGGCGCAACACTGGGCACAGCTGTCAGCACAGATAAAGTACTAGGCACAGATTGAAATGTACAGTGTTGAGTACTCCTAGAACATGACATTCGATAGTAGTAGGATCAGGAATAAACTACAGCTATCAACCCCCCCCCCCCCCCCCCTACATTTAGGCTGTGGCTCATTTGGTGAATTTTCACTTAAATTTC